GTGTGTGTGTATATATATATATATATATATATATATATATAAAATTCAATATGTTTTAAAATACATTCAATAATGTATTTTAAAAATCTAGCTATGAAATTAGGAGGCAGATATTGTATTGGCATTGTGGTGTAAATAGTCATGCCTGAAAGAATAAAAAAATACACAAATACCATAATTCTCCCAACACGTACAGTATTTTGGAGACAAATTAAATAAACTAGTAATGTGACTGAGAAACGTTTTTGTTTTTCTATGATTTTATAAGACCCATACATGCATCATCCTATTGACTATTTAAAGCTTGATGCTTGGAACCTGATAGGAGACAGACAACTTATCAACTACAACAGATCAATACACAGGAGTAGTTGTGGCCTACTACGTCCCGAGCATAGACTGTGGTCACGAGCAACTTACACATGTGCAATATAATAATAACATACACGTTCAAGGTCAACAAAGTCAACATTTATTTTGTGTTAATGAACGTAACGTTACGTGTGTTTGGTGTGGCTGCAGATGTTGACGCTCCGTCAGTATAGTCCGGCAGATGCTGGTACTCGTATCTACACTCGGGGCAGTAATATGGTCCGGTCTGAGATCCGCTCCACAACTCTCTGATACAAACCCGACAGAAGCTGTGAGAGCAGGCCAGCGTCACCTGCTCCCGACACTCCTCATAACACAGAGGACATTTCAGAGGTTTGCCATTAGATGCGCCCATCTTTAAAGTGTTATTTACACTTACAGCAGACGCCTCACGATCGAACAAACGAAACTGATCTAACACAGAGTGGGCGGAGCCTCACCTTTTGAATCAGGCAAACACAATATTTACTCTGCTGCTCTTAAAGCGACAGTGCACAATATATTCTGTGCAAGATGGCATCATTTTATCTCTCTATCTGTCTACTCTTAAAGCGACAGTGCACAATATTATATCTTAGTAACATTCTGTTTCTACAGAATAAAAGTACAATAATTTGTGTCCTAAACTTTATGCAAATATGCTTCAAATAAGGCAAGATTCAATACATTACTAACACAACATTCATAACGCAATAATTTGGCAGAATTTTTTAATTAGAAGGTTTATTAGAAATAAACTGAATGTCCACAAAATAAAAATACCACAGGCTCATTGGGTAAAGTTTCATTTGTTTCATGTGGGTAATCATTGGATTATCATGACATCATCATTATGGGCAGGTAAAGTCTAATGTACGATATGCATTCTCAGAAGACACAAATTGACTTGTTGCATAATGGATTCATAGGTTAACGTTTATCTCTCTATAAACATAACAATGATTTACTTCACAAACAAGCACACACACACACGCTTAAAGAGTGTGTTGAAGCACTTTTATTACTAAAAGTTGAACAATAGACCATAAGAGCAAATTTAATAAAATGATTAAATAAAAGTAAAACAATACAACATAAAGGCAAAGTTATCCATATTACTGTCAATCACATTCTTCCTCCTCCCTGATATTGGTTACTGGTTTATTTATAATAGCCCTTGGTGTTGTATTCTGATGTATTCACATAGGAAGTCCTCTCTACAAACACAGGGATCAATGTTCAGTGTGTGGACACTTGAACTTGAAAAGAGAGGAAAGGCAAAAGTGAAATGGCCTCCTGCCCATCACTACCAAAATCAAACATTGTTGATCAGGCTGGTCATCATCCAGCAACTCAATATGCAGGAGCATTGCGGATTGCACAGCAGAGGACCATGGTGAAGATCATCTCAAAAACCTAGACACACAGCAGAGAGAAATTACACACCCAGCTGTCTTTAGTTATTCCTAGCACAAGTCTGTAATTTGTGCATTTCTGTGCATGTGTGTGTTCATTCTCACCATAATGACAGCAATCACTAGGGCGGCCAATCCAATGACATGGAGTTTCTCAGTGAACAGGTCCCTTAGCTTCGTGTGGCAACTCTGAAGCGCACCACATCAATACATTATCCACAATCAAACAGACTGTCAGCTATCAAAATATCCCTTTTTATAAGATTGTTTGTTTTGGTTATAATTTAGTGTAATTCCAACTAAACTAATTTTACATTTATGTATATGAATTGCATTTAAAATTTATATGCATTTGGATTGCACAGTTTTAAAATAAACAAACTATAAATGTGTGATGCATACATAAATGAAACAGGTAAGATTTTTGCACTCAGAAAAATATCATGGCATAGCTTATTATTAAAGGGTTAGTTCACCCAAAATTGCAAATTCTGTCATTAATTACTCACCCTCATGTCGTTCCAAACCAGTAAGACCTTCATTCATTTTCAGAACACAAATTAAGATATTTTTGATAAAATCTGAGAGCTCTCTGACCCTCCGTAGACAGCAATGCAACTGTAAATGCAACTGTAAATATTTTGTAGGCTAATTTTCATTTTTGGGTGAACTAAACCTTTAAGGATCTTTTCATAAGAATCAACTGAAAAGTGAAGAGTTCTAGAGGAGTTAAAACCATAACAGTCCATCAAAATATGCTTTAGAGAAACTTGACTCTTTCATAGAAATATACTGATGTGTTTACATTCTTGCCTTAAGATCAGGCTGAATTGAAATTAGTTCTCTATCATGGTCTGAAGATACCTGGGAGATGAGCGGGTCAAGTGGGAATGTCTTTTTGGGACAAAGAGAGGCCTGGACAACTGTGAAAAGTTGATTTTCATCCCCTTTACCACAGCAATCCAGCTAGATATTGAGAGAGAGAGCAAAAAAAAAAAAAAAAAAAAAATAATAATAATAAGCGATGGGGATTATTAGCTGTCCAAAATGAAGGATTTTGATGAAGGAATAGATTTTGGCAACTCACTGAGTCATGGAAGACCTCCAGAACTTTGGAAGCTGCCTGTCTGGATGTTGTGTCCACGGGATCCACAGCTTTAATGTATGCAGCATCATAGAAGTTAATGAGCTCAGTGGAGATCTGGACAGACAGAAAGTGAGAGAGTGACAGCCTTAAAATGAAGTCTTAATCTACAGATTTTCTGAGTGTACGTCTACAGAATGTTTAGCCGTACCGTGTCCCTGTTAATAAACCCCCATATTCCTGCTGCCACCTCACAGGCGAAGAGGATCACCAAACATGTGAAGAACTGAGCAAGAAAAAGAGATAAACTGTGTGATGAAGAAAGAAATACTGGAATAAGAAGAACGTTTAAGGTAAGGCTGTGTGTAGAACAAAAGATGAAACAACTCTTCAAATCACTTTTTCATGTTAAACACAGAGCTTAGTTAAAAAAACAAACAAACATGCCTAACACCCATAGATTCCACATGGATATTAGCTTTAGCGAATTAGCTTTCTGGGCTGGCCTACAAATTGACATCATGATGACTACTCTTGTGAAAAAAAGTATGCTTAATTGTGTTGAATTTGCAGTTTAGGTGTACATTAAAACTTTTAAGTAAGTTTTTAAAAACTGTACTTGCAGATAAGATAATATTAATGAAATAAAAAGCCACTAGGTGTGCTTACACTTTCAAAGTTAATATACTTTATATGTGTCAGTTCAGAAATGTACAACTTCATCATTACATGTGTAATTACAAAACTATTTATAATTACAAATACAATTAAATATTTGACATACAAGTTTCAATAGGAATTGTTTTAATACCATAAGTCAGTACGTT